TTTTTTTTTCTTTAAAAAAATAATTTTAGTCAAAAACTGTCAATTTTCACCAAAATTCAGATTGTCAAACAGATAAAATCAAACATTTTTAACTTAAAAAGCTAAATCATTCCATTTATACGTGCATTTCTGACACAAATTTAGTAATTATAAATGAGAATATATTATTGATAGAGATATATTGGTAGAGAATGAAACTTTTTCTCTCTAGGCATGGTGCCCCCCCCCTTTTTTTGAAAAAAAACATTTTTTCAAAATTATAAAATTTATCAAAAATTAAAAGAAAGATGGTATTAAATTCTGAACATTTTGAGCATTGAAGCATGAAATTTCTTCAAAGGATTAGGGCAATGATAGTACCCCCTTCCCCATTTTTAGATATTAGATTTTTTTCAGAAATAAGGAATGTGTCAAAGAGACAACAATCCAACCAAACAACAGAAAACAGCCGAAAGGCTGATGACTGAATGAAGGATTGCTGCGTCCCGAAATACATGAAATACACTTGTTTTTTGCAAATTGAAATTTTTAGTTGCTATTTCATGGTCTTGAAAATTAGCCTCTGTCCAAGTTTTATTTCAGCCTATGTTAAAAAAAACTTAGTCTCAGACTGTCTTTAAATTTTAACTCTAAACAAGAGAGCCTGGATCGATCACCTGTAATATTTTGGTTGAATCTTTCATCAATGATTATTTATGCTTTTCAATATATATCAATGAGTGACTTAAAAATTCCATTTAAATGTTCTTTGTATCTGTCATATTTTCTTCAAAATCAAAAAAATGCATTTTACCCCTATGTTCCATTTTAGCCATAGTGGCTATGTTTTTTTAATTACAAGGAAATAAAATACAAAATTTATACTAAATATTCCCAAGTTTGGCTGAAATTGATTCAGCAGTTTCAGGAGAAGATTTTTTAAAGTAAGCAAATAAGATGAACAAATTGTGAAATAATTCTTTAAAGGGCAATAACTCCTTAAGGGGTCAATTGAAAATTTTGGTCATTAAACTTATTTGAAGATCTTACTTCGCTGAACTTTTTTGCTGTTTACAGTTTATCTTTGTCATTAATAATATTCAAGATAATAACCAAAAACTGCAAAATTTCCTTATAATTACCAATTAAGTTGCAGCAACCCAACAATGGGTTGTTAGATTTTATCTGAAAATTTTAGGGCTGATAGAACTTGACCTAATGAACATGTTTACCTACATCAGATTTGGTCTAAATGCTTTAGTGTTTGAGATATAAGCCAAAAACTGCATTTCACCCCTATGTTCTATTTTTAGACATGGCGGCCATGTTTTTTGACAAAATAGAAAATAAAACACAAACTATATTCTAGATATCCTAAGGATCATTCAGCGTAAGTTTGGCTGGAATTGGTTCAGTGGATTCAGAGGAGATGTTTGAAATAGTTAACACCAGACGGATGACGACAGACGCCAAGTGATGGATATCAGAAATATACTGAAAATGAAAAATAAACCACTTGTACCCTCGAGAGCGCTAACGAGGCCACTATCCATAAATTTAATATTTTTAAGGGTAATAACTCTTAAAATAAGTCGATTGGCCACCAATATATAACTTGTTTGAGATGTTGCTTATATTAACCTAAAGTATTAGTTTCGTAAAAATCTGACAAGATTTGTACATGTGAGAGCGCTGCAAGGACCGGACAGACAGACAGACAGACACACGGACAGCCAGATGGACACAAGGAAGGACGGCAATCAAAATTTTAAGCAGACCATGTTTAAGTTTAAAATTTTAAGTTCTAATATTGATTATTATTTTTTTGGCAAATAAGACTATTTTTAAAATAAGAAAATAACACTCTGTAAAAATTATACCAATGGGACAATTATTAAGTTTGCTACAGTGTTCCAATTTCATTATATATGGAAAATTTAATACATTGCCTTGTATCGTTTCTTTTGTTGACTAGTATACTATTGCGCAGAGTCAGATTATGTACACATAATGGCTGTTACTATTTATCTCCCATGTAATTCGACATGTATCGAAACCTTTATGCAAACACTTATTTGTCACTATATGTCGATTTAACTATGTCAAAATTGAAATTGAAGAAGAACTACAGAACCGTTCTTTCTATTCTAATATACAATGAATCTAACTTATGCAAAAGAGCTTGAAATAAATGCGGAATGTGTCCATTGGACACAGATGATGCTCCCGCTTGCATTTCATAAAAGTTATAAACGTACATAACTGAAGAACGGTAAAAATGACACTAACCAAATGTGTACTTTATGTAAGTTTGGTGGTCATAAGTATTGTGTAAAAGTTTCATAACATTTGGTTGAGGCAAACTAAAGAAACAAAAAAGAAACAAAAAATTCAGCAACTTTTTCCCTTTGTAAAGAGGCATGGCTATAGAACAGTAAAAGTGACACCATCAAAACTCAAACTTGATCTGTATTTGGTGGTTTTAAGCATTGTGTATAATTTAAATAACATTTGGTAAAGACAAACTAAAGTTAGAGAACGGAAACGAAAAATACAGCAATACTTCTATTTGTAAAAGGGCATAACTCTAGAACGGTTAAAGTGACACCACTGAAATTCAAACTTGGTCTGTGTTTTGTGGTAATAAGCAATGTGATTAAGTTTCATAACATTTGGTTGAGGCAAACGAAAGTAAGAGAACAGAAACCAACTTTGGGACGTACAATGGTAAACCTTAATGCCCCTCCGCCACGGCAGGGGCATACAAATGTGTAAATATAACAGTTGATAAAATTGAACAACATTCCATGAATGATCATTGCACATGGTGGTCCTAAGGTTTTGAGAATTAAAACAGTATATACTAGTTAGGACCAGCCAATTTCCTCAAGGCCCACAAGGAGAATATGTTTTCAGAACTATAAAGATGCGATAACTCTGCCTTATACAAATAATAATTCAGTTAGGTTATTTAAAAAAAAATTGATAGACAAGCTGTCCTTTACCATCATATACCATACAAACATTGACAAAGTCTTGCACAGTTTAAGATAGATCGTTGGTATATATTTCCTCAGATAGAACACGTAGAATTTGTATGCCCCCACCGTAGCGAAGGGGGCATTAAAATGTACCCTTGTTCGTAAGTACGTCCGTTCTAGAGTTATACACCTTTACAAATGGAAAAATTGCTGACTTTTTTGTTTCCGTTCTCTAACTTAAGTTAGCCACAACCAAATGTTTTGAAACTTAAACACAATGCTTATTATCATAAAATACAGATCTAGTTTGAATTTTATTGGTGTCACTTGTACTGGTAATGAGTTATGTTCCTTTAAAAATGGAAAAATTGCTGAATTTTTCGTTTCCGTTCTCTCTCATTCGTCTGTCTGACATAGTTCATCTTACCCTGACCTCATTTTCTTAGAACATTGATAATGTTAAGTTTATATAATAATTGTATTAAAATCTTTATATAACAGAGTTTCAAAAGTAATTCATTGATAAATAAAACCAACCAGACATTTTAGGTTGTGCATTCTTGTTTAGCAGATCTTAGTCTAGGGCAATTTTGTTTTTAAATTGTTCATTAAGATTTGTTTTACAGACAATCATGTTATGCTCATTGTTGAAGGCTGTACGATGACCTGTGGTTGTTCATTTCTATGTCATTTGGTCTCTTGCGGAGAGTTGTCTCATTGGCAATTACAACACATCCTCTTATTTTTATACACAGACTTAAATGTTTTTGGAGTTCAATATTATTCTTTTTCACTAACAGCATCATGCAATCCCAGGCACGACAACGGGTTATGCGTATTACCATTTTTTTCAAACATCTGAGAAATCTTACATATAACTAGAGAATTATTATGTTATGCTTAAATTCTTAAAATGCTTAGTTCACAAGTTAACACAATAAGATTCCACATTTTTTTCAACAAATTTTATAATTTTGAAAAAAAAATGATTTTTTTTCAAAAAAAAGGGGGGTGCACCATACCAATAGTGATGAGTTTTCGTTTTGTACAAGTATATCTTCATTTATCATATATTCTAGTTTAAAATTAACAAATGTGTGTCAGAATTGCACATACAAATGGAATATTTTAGCTTTTTAAGTTCAAAATGTTTGATTATTCACATGTTTGGTAATCTGAATTTTGGTGAAAAGTGACTAAAATTATTTTTTTAAAGAAAAAAAAAACACACGACTTTCTTTTTATTTTATGAATATATAGAATGTTGTCTTTCAAAATTTGTTACTGACATGTAATTGTATTGTTGGTCTTGGGAGATAAACAGATTTAAAATTTCGGAGTTTTTGAAATTTTTCATTTTCGAATTTTAACACATTTTTAAATGGTTGCTATGGAAACAAACTATGTAGTAAATTCAAAATTTTAACGTTTTTGTATAGTTTTGGGTTTTGTTTGTCAATTCTGTAAATATACTTATTGTTTTAATTGATTAACTTTATTTCAATGGTTCTTTTATATCCCTTATATTTCAATTTTCAAAGGCTACTTTTGTACGTATTTTGGCAAAATTTTGTAAGGATGGTTTCCATGGCAACCAAGGTTCAAAAGAAAAAAATGAATATATGAAACTTATTTTCATACCATACCTTCTTCATAAACAAAATATAAAGACATTTGAAGAGGGGTCATGAATCGCCCATCAACAGGAACCTGCATGATTCTTACAAAGACAGGTACATGTACTTAAATTATATTCAACAAAAACTTCTGTTCAATTTGTGTCCCCAAGGTTAACAAATATAATTAAATATGTATTCAATTTTTTTTAAAGCAAAAACAAACTGTTAGAACATGCTATTCATGTGTTAGTATTTCAATATAGATTCACCATTTGATAGCTTTTTTTATGGGGAGGGGGAGGGGTTCTTATGCCACATTAGGTCCACAATAGATATGTTTCATAGTTAATATCAGTGTCATATTGCTACAATGTTTTATAGTTTATGAAATACTATTCTATAACATTAAGATCATCATGACCTACATTGTATGCTTGGCAGGCTAAGATTGCATTTAAGCCAAAGTAGTAGCATTTACTAGTAATTTTATTGAATGAGGTCAACCATGTCTGAAAGACACATCATCTGCTTTCATAAATCATAATGTTCATGATAACTCCTACCATTTTACCAGCCCTTTATTTTTTTCTTGTTGAATTATTTGGCAATTTCACTTTTTTGCATTCGCAACCAGAAAAAAAAGGGTGATTTGCTTGTTAGATATTGTTACCATATATATTATTTTGAATAAATTTTTTTTCCCAATGCTATTGAATGAACATATAGGAAAATATTGTCAGTTATCATACACTACAATCAAAGATCTGTGCTAGGAATTTATCATTTTAAGGATATATACTATATTTTTTTTTATTGAGCGAGGTTTAATTTGTTTATGGCACAGATAGGGGAAGCAACTCTGTTTTAATTCAGTTTTACAAGCAGAGGTGGGAATATTTATACAGTTTGGTTTAAAATATGATATATTTATGAAATATTAGAAAAGTTTTATATAAAAAATTAAATAAATTAAATTGAAGTTGAAGTTTTGTTTTAATATGTGGTAGTAAATGCAGACTATTTACATGTACGTTTAATATATCAAAAAGAGGATATTTACAGGCTTAGTGTGTGTGTGTGTGTTTGTGTGTATGTACAAAGGGGTTTCCATATGCTTCCATAGCCAAATATCAATACATTTTAGGCTAATGATCTTGTTTCTTTGTCTGTAGGTATATCTATATAGTTTTAGCCATATGTCACAGTTCAATGACTTTGGTTAAGGTTTGCATTCAAGTTGATTTTGGTTAAGTTGTACATCAAAATATCTGTAACTAAATAGGATCATCCAAATAAGTGTAAAAATGTATGTTTGCAATTAAATCAGCATCAAGGCAAGAGCAGGTCACAGACCTTTTTTTTTTATATTTCATAAGCATAATATAGGTTTTACATCTAAGTTATCTCAGTACTTTAATTAAGATTATCATCTAAAAGTTTGTGAACAATCATTAAAGGGAATAGTCAGCATCAAGGCAAATAGAGGTCACTGTGTCCTTCATTTTACACTTAATTGATTTTGGCTTATTTTTGTCAAGCCTGCAAAATTTATTTCGCGCAGATGAGACATAGCGAGATTCCCTCGTCGGCAGCGTCAACATTTAGGTTCAGTCTGTGATTAAAGTTTTTTGGACATCAATAACTTTGTCAAACCTACATGGAATTTTATGAAATTAGGACAGAAGCTTGTTGATGACCAAAATACAATATCCAGGGCAAAATTTTGAAAATATTTATTTCATTTTTCCGTATTTTACTAATAAATGGACTTAGTTTTTTTTACAGTTTACTTCAGATTTTGTCTGAGGTTAAAGTTTTTCAGTCATCATTAACTTTGTCAAACCTTCATGAATTTTACTATAGACAGAAGCTTGTTTATGACCAAAATACAGAATCTAGAGCAAAATTTTGCAAATATTTATTTTCATTTTTCTGTATTTTACTGATAAATGGACTTCGTTTTTTTACAGATAACTCTCAGACTCAGTCTGAAGTTAGTGTTTTTCAGTCATCAATTACTTTGTCAAAGCCTCATGCAAATTTATAAAAATTTTTGACAGAAGCTTGTTTACGACAAAAATATCGTATCCAGAGCAAGTTTTCGGAAATGTTTATTTTATCATTTTTATACGACCGCAAAAAAATTTTGCGATCGTATATTGGTATGACGTTGGCGTCGTCGTCGTCCAAAGACACATTGGTTTTCGCACTCTAACTTTAGTTTAAGTGAATGGATCTCTATGAAATTTTACCATAAGGTTCAATACCACAAAAGGAAGGTTGGGATTGATTTTGGGGGTTATGGTACCAACAGTTAAGGAATTAGGGGCCAAAAAGGGCATTTTTGAAACTTCCAGACATAACTTGTGTTTTAGTGTATGGATCTCTCTGACATTGTACCACAAGGTTCCATATCACAAAGGGAATGCTGGGATTGATTTTGGGGGTAATTGCCTCAAAATTTTAGGAATTAGGGACCAAAAAGGGGCAAAAAACAAGCATTTTTATATGGACAAATACTATAGTACAAAACATAATTTAAAGCAGTGTAAGGGAGATAAATCAAATACATCATTTGAATTACCTCCCTTTCACTGCTTTTAAATTATGTATAAAGTAATGGTTAATGAACAATTAAGACATTTTAAAACAGTGTTAGGGAGGTAATCCACATACAACGTTTTGATTACTTCCCTTACACTGCTTTTAAATTATGTTTAAAGAAATGCACATTTAGAAAGGAAGACCAGTAAAAATATCTGCAAATGTTGCATCTTTTTTTTTTTTAATCCATATGAAAGATTTGACACCATATTTTAAATTCTAATATAGAATAGATTAAGTTAGCACTATGGTAAATTTAAATGGGTAATCATGGTTGCAAATTCCGTTGGAAATTTGAATTGAGATTATGACCATATCTTGAGGGAAAGAATTCTTTGGGGGAAAAAGGGGAAGGGGTAAAAAGAAATTATGGGGGGTCAATTTTTTCTCATTTCAGATTTCAGAAATTAAAAAGAATTATTCCTCAAATATTATTTTTTTTTCAAATTTCAAATATTGAAAAATTTCAAGAAGTAATCTTTAATTGCACAGTATGGCGCATTAGATTTGTAAAATCTTTGACCGCATTTATTTATTTGTTATGCCAAATCTGACCGTGTATTTAGATTTTTAATTTTGGGTCCAGATTTCAAATTGGTCTACATTTAGGTCCAAAGGGTCCAAAATTAAACTTAGTTTGATTTTAACAAAAATTTATTATATGGGGTTCTTTGATATGCTGAATCTAAACATGTATTTAGATTTTTGATTTCGGTCCCAGTTTTCAAGTTGGTCCAAATTGGGATCCAAAATTAAACTTTGTTTGATTTCAACAAAAATTGAATATATGGGGTTCTTTGATATGCTGAATCTAACCATGTATTTTGATTTTTGGGCCCTGTTATCAAATTGGTCCACATTGTGGTCAAAAGGGTCCAAAATTAAACTTTGTTTGATTTCATCAAAAATTGAATTCTTTGGATTCTTTGATATGCTGAATCTAACCATGTATTTAGATTTTGGATATTGGACCATAGTATGTAAATTAAAAAAATTTAAGTTCTTAGACCACATTTATTCTTTGTCAGAAACCTATGCTGTGTCAAATATTTAATCACAATCCAAATTTAGAGCTGTATCAAACTTGAATGTTGTGTCCATACTTGCCCCAACTGTTCAGGGTTCGACCTCTGTGGTCGTATCAAGCTGCGCCCAGCGGAGCATTTTATTCTTTATTTTACTGATGAATGGACTTAGTTTTTTTACAGTTATCAAGTTGATACAGTCTGGGGTTAAAGTTTGTTATACATCAATTCCGCAGAAACCCCTTATGAATTTTTATGTACAAGTTCATATCCTCATCTAAAGATGTGTTAATATGTCTTTTGGGGAGAAAGTCAGCATTCAGTTTGGGGTTCTCAATGGCTGAGAGGTCTAAGTAGTTCATTTATCATGACCACTAGCCTGTCAACAATGAGAGGAGTTGGAACCTTGTTTGTGACGGTTGTTCTAATATGATCTTAAATGACTAGGATTGCCAGATTTCCTGCTAAAAGTTAGTGGTTCTCTCCGGGCACTACTGCTGCCTCCACCAATAATAACTGACTGCCATGACATAGCCATTACTGCTTAAAGTGGTGTTAAACAGCAACAATCAATCAGCATTCAGGCTAAAGTAAGTAAATTGGCTAGATTTCATGATTCATTAATTGTGGTTATCCAAATGAAATCTTTGTATATATTAGAAACTTGTATAGTGATATAAAGTGGGGAGCAGTTCAGCATATGATAAAAAATAGACCAATATGACTTATATTTTCTACTTTCTTACATTTGATCAATTTAAAATAAATTATGTAGAATGAGTCAAACATTGTAATAATAGATAACCTAAGTCTGTAAGTTGACCAATAAGGATAGAGAATTACCAATGTACAATATTCCAAAGTATATTTAAACAAATCATTTTGTCAATATATGTTGGCCTCTTCTATGGGATGTCTTCTACAGATCATCATTTAAAAAAAAATATACTCTAATCTTTCATAGTGTTGACTGATTTAGTAAATGTATACTCGGAAGAACTTTTTTGTGGATTTTTTACTGTAGAAAAACTGGCAGGAGAAGGTTGTATAAGGCCACTTTTGACTGCTTTGTGTATAAAATCAATACATTTCTCAGATATCAGAATTGATGAGCTTGAAGTTTGTCTTGCTTATAAACTTTATTTTCTTATTTTCATAATCAAGCATTGAAAAATCTAGCTTTACATTAAATACTTAAAACCCTACCAAACTTTTCTCACTTTTAAAACAAGAATCATCCCTATCTTGAATATATTTTGCCACAGTTTTGGCTAAGGCTGTTGATTTTATTTCATTTCACTTGAACAAAACTATTAAAAAAGGGAATTTTTGTTCAACTATGATGTCCTAGTGACACTACTGGTGATATTTCTGGTGTTATATACTTTAATTTTATTCATTTATAAATGAAATATACATGATGTTGAATGGATTAACGAATGTAACTTTAATAACAACTTCATCAAACATGATTTAAAAATAAAAACAAATAGGTATTTCAGCTTGCTGGCCAGCAGATTTCTAGTAGATGAGCTTGAACTAATTTTCATACATATGTTAAAGTAGAAATCCTTCTACTTAAGAATGCAGGATTTTGTAAATGTCTTTTGAATTAGATTGGACCAAAGTAAGTTATTTTTAGCTCACCTTGCCATCAGGCCAAGTAGGCTTTTCTCATCACTTTGTGTCAGTCGTCCATCGTCCAATGACCCCGCTTGTCAACCAACATGGCCAACATTGCTAAAAATAGAAATGGGGGGTAATGTTTTATCTATTACCTTGAAAACTGCTATGATTAGAGAGAATCTGTCAGGGGCAGAAATGTTCAGAATGTTGAGATCTACCTGCTGTCCAACAATGTATTAGTTTGTGATTATGTCTAATTTATAGTGAACAACTAGTGGTAGGTCAATGATATTTGGTATGCAGTTGTATTAGCATTGGCACATCTCATTACCATGGAGATTGTTTGACCCCAACCTCTTGGTCATGGTCGATTGACTTTGAAACTTTGCTTAGTTTTCATGTATAAGTTTGTGATTAGGTCAGTTTATGAGGAACCACTAGTGGTAGGTCAAAGATATTTGGTATGCAGTTGTATAAGCATTGGCATATCTCATTTCAATGGAAATTATTTGGCCCCGCCCCCTCAGTCATGGTCTATTGACTTTGAAACTTTTGCTTAGTTTACATTTATTAGTTTGTGATTAGGTCAGTTTAAGGGGAACCGATAGTGGTAGGTCAGTGATAATTGGTATGAAGTTGTATAAGCATTAGCACATCTCATTTCTATGAAAAATATTTGGTACTTACAATAATGGTAGGTCAAAGATATTTGGTATGCAGTTGT